TGCATTTCTGCTGTTTTAGTCTACAAAGTTCTCTATTTTCCCTATTATGATTTAACATCTACATAAAATAGCTGGGCAGAGTTGTTTGCATTTCTGCAGTAAAGTGCCATTACTTTTATTTCTTGTTTATATCACTTGCAGAAAATTTCAGAGATGGAATAAAAATATAAAATGCTGAGACATTGGAGTAGACCAAGTATACTTGGGACTCCTAATGCCATTTTCAAGTGCTCTTCAGCAATAAAAAACTTTCTGAAAAAGTAGATCACTGCAATAGTGATCCCCAATCAGTTTGGGTTTTTGTTCATAATGTGGAGTGTTTAAGTGTTCAATTCAACTTGCCTGTAATGTGCAAAGATATTAGTATACTATGTTGTTAGGCTGGATTTTAATTTTGATGGATGGAAACTACAGAGTGGAATGATATTTAACTTGTTTAGACACAAACTAGATTTGTGGGGTAGTCATATGTATCATAAGCATGTATCTGCTGTGTAAAGAAGAATTGGGGGTCTACTCCTTATACAAAAAAGAAGCATGCAGTAAAATCTATTTTCCCTGCTTTTCATTGTTTTTATTTTATTTTATTTTATTTGGCTACTTTTATGCATTTTCCTCCCAAGTACGGATTGCTCTTGAGAACAACAAAGCAGATGAGTTGTATTCTCCCTCTCTTGACTATTTCTTTTTTTATAGCAAGTAAACTGTCATCTTGATTTATATCCAAACAGAACAAATAGGGGCTTAAGATATATACAATTCCCCTACCTGTATTAGTTTGGCCTATGTATGCAATAGAAATGTTGGGATTCTGCATTCAGATTTTCATTTAGTTATGAACCCATTGGATAAAGTTGTGTAAATTATTCTCAGCTTCAGTCCTGGTCAGAATGCTACCAACTACCTCATTGGGATTTATAAAGAAAACGCATGAAAGATCATCAACACTTTGTTATCCTCATGGTGCTCCAAAATCAAAGCTTAAAGGCATTACTTAAATAATTGATAATAATAGTTTACTCTCTCTAGACTTACTGAGCAATGCTTTTCTCTGTTTTCCCCTGATTTATCTTGCTTTATTTTACTTTTGATTCTTTGCAAAGTTTAAAGATGTGTATGCAAAAGGGAATCCTTTGTCTGTTTGAAATGTTTCAAGAGTGTACAGACATTTCCTCCCCTTATCCAATTATCTGTTTGACAGAAGACAAAGATTTAAGAAGGATTTCACTTAAACTGATTTTACCTGGATTTAATTCCACAAGTTTCAAAGGAATGCGTTGTGATTTATACATGTTTAGCTAAGAGCAACATCAAGAGCAGTAATTCATGATAATACAATAAAAGCAGCACCTTAGATGAAGTTTGCTCTACAAGTCTAATCCAGTCAGAGAAGGCTTTGGTGAATTGTTATAATTCAGCTCCTATGCGGACATTCAAGGGAAATCTGTGTATCCCCATAGTGTCTAAACATCTGTCTTTCTCCATTAAATACATGCAACACTGATGCCTTTCAAAGGGTTTGACAATGCCCTTAAACTCATCAGTTCATTGCTCTTTCTTTTCTCAGTATTGGAGCACTTATTGGCTTGTCGGTCGCAGCAATGGTCTTGCTGGCTTTTCTCATCACTGTGTGTGTTCTCTGTTACTTGTTTATCAGCAAGAAGCCACGCAACAAATTGGATACAGGCTTAACTTTAAGCTTAGAAGCAGCAGGTAAGATCTCCCTGTTCTGTGGAGAACATCCAGACATTTCCTCAATTAAAATCATTCAGTGGTAACCAGTTTTCTATATCACCTGGATTTTAAAATGTTTCAACACATTTCTGTTTATGAAAGCACTCAAGAAAGCTTGCAAGATTCAAAACAAAGATGCAACATGTAAAATAAACATTAAAATCAGTAAAATTAAAAATCAATCATTTAAAAGCTTAGTAAAATAGATTGTCTTTACTATTTTTCTAAATATTGGTAGAGTAGGAACCAAATGCATCTCCATAGGGAGATCATTTCATAGCCAGGGAGCTTCCCTAAATCAAAAGCAAGTCCTCTGATCCTCCCCAGAGCAGATGGAATGAGGCAACAGTTACTCTTCTTCTAGTTCTGGAACACCTTCTCAATCTGGCATCCTCCAGATGTGCTGGAATTGCAAGTCTCAGAATTTCCAGCCAGGATGGGAGTTGCAATCCCAACACATCTGGAGGGCATCAAATTGTAGAAGGCTGCTGCAGGGAACCTAAATAAAAGGAAGAGCAATCATTTAGAAATACTTCAAGAGACATTTAACAGGAGAACATGGACCCAACAGTGTTAGACAAATTTCGTCCAGTTTCCAACCTTTCCTTTTTAGGGCCCTGGATGAAGCGGATTATCTGGACCCTTTTCAGTCTGGGTTCAGGCCAGGGCACAGCACTGAAATGGCATTGTTTGCACCTTTGGAGAGTTTGGGATGTGGGTGGTGCACCCATTCTGGCCCTTCTGGACCTCTTAGCTGCTTTCAGTACCATCAACCATGGAATCCTTCTGGACCGGCTTCAGGAGTTGGGGGTGGGAGGCACTGTTTTGCTGTGGTTCTCCTCCTTCCTCCATGGCCAGCTTCAGTCAGTGTTGATGGGGGAGGAGAGGTTGAGCTCTAGGCCCCTGCAATGGGGGCTGCCTCAGGGCTTGAGTTTTTGCCTCTCCTCTTTAACATCTACATGAAACCACTGGGGGAGTTCATCTGAGGGGATGAGTTGTGGTCACATCAGTACGCTGATGATACCCAGCTATTCATCTCCACCCATGCCAGGCAGGTCTTATTCTGTTGCTGGGCCAAGTGCCTGCAGGCAGTAAGGGGCTGGATGGGGAGAAACCAGCTTCAGCTTAACCTTGGCAAGACAGAATGGCTCTAGGATTTTAGCCTAAGTGCTATGTCATCTTTGACTCTGGATGGGGTGGCACTCCCCCAGACTGAGCTGGTGTGCAATCTGGGGGTCCTCTAGACTCACGGCTCCTGCTTGAAGAACAGGTGGCAGCCATGGCTGGGGATGCTTTTGCACAGATTCATCTTATGCACCAACTGCACTCTTTCTTGGACTGGGAGGCCCTGCTCATGGTCATTCATGCCTTGATTACTTCCTGCTTGGATTACTGCAATGCGTTCTACGTGGGGCTGCCCTTGAAGACCACCCAGAAGTTACAACTAGTCCAGAATGCGGTCACACACACAGTAATGGGTGCCCCTAGGTCTACCCACATTACACCCCTGTTGCATGAGCTGCACTGGCTCCCAGTTTCCTTCTGGATGCTATTCAAGGTGCTGGTTATTACCTTTAGAGCCCTATATGGCACGGGGTTATCTGTGGAACTGCCTGTCCCTAAGGACGTCTGACCATTCTACTAGATTGGATAGGGTGGGCATGGTCCTAGTCCCCTCCCTTAAATATTGCCATCTTATGGGACCCAGGAAGCGTCCCTTTTCCATGGCAGCCTCTGGCCTATGGAACAACTCTTCCCCCTGAAATTCTGCACCCTTTTAACCTTCCGAAAAGTACTTAAGACCTGGCTTTCCCCCCCACATGCTGGGATAGGGCGAGCTTTGCGAGATGAACCTATTGTGGGCTGCATGGGAAAGTTTAGCTATGGTGCCTGGCCTTTTGATTTTTAATATTTTTGGTTTTAATATTTTTATTGTACATAGGTGTGGTTTTTTCTCTTGGTTGTGAGCCGCCTGGAGTTTGGTACAAGATGGGCAGCTATATAAATGTTTTAAATAAAATTATAATGACATTGAAATGAAAATGAAAATGAAATCCATTGGGCAAGAATATAAAAATACAAATCACATGGCATCATCACAAGTCTTCTATTTGTTGCTGACTGGAAAAAAAGGAATGAGTTGCTGCATTTTGGGTTTGACAATAAAAGGTCAAGAAATGCTTCTGATAAAACAGCCACTGTGATAAAATAATCATTGTGGAATCTTGCATTAGAAGGATGGAACAAGCATATGTAGGTCATTGGAGGCATGATATTGGTCCTTCAGAAACTGCTTTGGCTTTTGCATTTTTTCCCTTTCCCAAACAAAAACTAATTACTTTAAAGTAATCACCACTGACTCCCTCTGAATTCAAAAATATTAACCTTGTGAAGCTTAATTGAGAGATCAGGTGATAGGAAATCTGATTTCTTTTGCAATGGGTAGTCTGTGAATCTTAACATGCTGAAAAACAAAATAATTTTGCCTTGAATCTTCTCAGAACTTCTACTTGCATCCTTTTCAGACATAATGGTTACATTGACTGAGAAATTAAAACATCCTAGAATCAACCTAGCTTGCAAATATTAAAGCCAATATGTATTCTAGAAAGCAAGTGGGTTGAAAGTTACATATAACACAAAGGAGCCTATATGCATTTGAAAACAGTTTGGTCTGTGTTTTGATTCTTCTCTATATTCTTTGGGTTGCTGTTTTCATTTCTAAACATACTATACTGCTTTTACCGTCTCATTTACTGTTCTTTTTAAAAATTATTTTCCATGATAGTTATCATTTTGGCATACATGGATATTACTTTTGATATTGATCTGCTGTCTGCTTGTTCAGTGCAGCAAGCAATTAGACTTTCATAAAAGCCTGTCCTCTCTTTGCTGATGAACAAACACTTCTCAGATACTTAGGTTTTTTGAAGTAGGGGATGATCCGGATAAATTATGAGACTCAAGATGCAGGCTTCCTCCTAAAATGCATGTGCTTGTTTGGTTTTGCTGGCTAACCATGTTGCAAAAATTGGAGAAGCACAGATCTTGAAGGATTAATGAATATATTGCTTTGAAATTTAGACACAAGTTTCCATCCATAATCCAAAAGATGCATATCTCTAATGACTTGATCTGGCTTCAGCTGTAAACAAAAGACTCTTATTGATTTTAGAAAGTTCGGGCCTGGGTGGGTCATTGTCTGCTTTTTCAGCAAATAAATTTAAATTATTGAGTTGCAGAAAATTCCCAAATGTTTGTGCATCAGAATTCTTCACATTGTGGTAAATTACATTTTATGATAGAAGCCAGAACTTATAAACATAGATCTTGATTTTGTTGCCAGTGGCAGGTATCTTAAACTAGGCTGCAAGGAATGAAATCATTGTCTTTTAGATTGCACAAAGAAGATAAAATTTCCTAACATCAAATTAGATGCAGAAGAGAAGAGAATCAGCTTTTAGTCTATATTTTATAGTTCTTAAGGGCAGTGGTTCTTGATTTTAATTAGCGAATGCCACAGTCTTTTTAGGCAGGGAAGCATAAGAGCAAACCATCTTCCTTATTTTCTGTTATTAAGGACTCCTAAAAGGAAGCTATTGAAAGATGCTAAGTAGAAAACCTCCATAAAACCTTCTCAATCCTGGTGTCCTCCTCTTATTATTACAGCTATTTAGTTTAGGTAAAAGCCTCTGTTATGTGAATTTGGGAATATAAAAATAAAATCCACAATCAGACACTTTGCTGTTAACTATTTTATTTTTTCAAATGGAGAATATTGTTTTATAATAAGAGTTCTGAACAGTATAACAGTTAACTAAGAAGTAGAAAAAATATTGTTCACCTTGATGCATGTGACTTCCGAGGAACATCTAAGCATGTTCATATAAAGAAGGTTTCTAGTTCTTGTACTTGCAAATATTGTATTTTGTGGCTTAAAAACCACTTTATAATAAACATGAAAATGACTTAATATTCATTAGGTTTAAATCTGATAATTGTCAGAAATATTGTATATTGAATTGTTTCAACAGTGGTTTTTTGTGCTAGATCACGCCTACTGTTTGTCCAAAGATTATAGTTGTAGTCTGATATATATGACTACAGAACCAAATAAATTTAGATTGCAATTCTTACCAGAGATTAAATCTTGCTGAACTCAAAGGAACTTAATTCTGAGCAGATATCTATAGGACTGCAGTATCTATCAGATACAGATGGGTTTACAGATAGTCCTCAAGTTATGACCGTTTGTTCAGTGACCATGTGAAGTTATGGTGCTGAATGAAGGGCTTACGACCAGTACTCAAAGTTCTGGCCATTGCAGCAGTCCCGTAGACGTGTGAACAAAATTCAGGTGCCTGGCAAACACGTTGCGCTTACAACCAGTTGCAGCATCCCACGGTCATGTGATCGCCATTTGCAATCTTCCCTGCTGGCTTCCCCCAAGCAAAATCAATAGGAAGCTGGCAAGGAAGGTTGCAAGTCGCTGAAGTAAGTTTCTCCTCCGTGGCCTTTGCTCCCATGCACTGAGACCGCCTTCCCCCTTTGCTCACCCACAACCCATGCCCTTTTTCCCCAAGCTCCCTGCATTTGCACACACGTATGCACCCCAGGCCCTCTTTCCACAGCCTCCCTGTGATCACACACCCACCCACACATGCACATGTACCCTGCACTCTCTTTCCATGGCCTCCCTGTGATTGCACCCACCCCGTGCCCTGTTCCCTCAGCCTCCCTTCACTTACACGCATGCACACATGCACCCTGCACCCTCTTTCCCCCGTCTCCCTGTGATCACATGTACCCTGTGCCCTCATTCCCTGGCCTTTCTGAGCTCGTGCCACACTGAGCACCCCCTCCCTCGGCTCATGCATAGCCTGCGCCAGGCCTACCAG